TATATATATATATATATATATATATATATATATATAGACATCCCAAGTCTCCCGAAAGTTTCGGGACTCTCCCTGATATAGATAGTTGTTCACGGATGCCCGCGAGTCGAATATAGAGTGAGAGCTTGCAGGCAGTACAATAATTTGTGCCTCATGTGCAGTTTAGAACTACCGTGATTGCGCAGGAACAACAAGAGAGCTGGGTGTGAGGAGGAGGTTGCTGGTGAAACTTGTGCAGTGCATCTTTCCAAAGCGATGCTCTGTTCAACGAGTGTTCCAGTGTTCCTAAAGTATATCCACATCCAGTGAAGGTGAGGAACAGTGGCAGATCTAGACCAAATGTACCAGGGGGCCAGGAGGGGGGCAGCCTGTTTCCATGTGGGCCCAGAAAAGCATAAAATAAAAAAGAGGTTCAATTAGGTTCAATAAAATTTCTATTTCTTATGAGGTCAATGTACATTTATAAATTAGGGATTTTACATATTTTTCTCTTAAGTTAAGTTAAAACTACTGTTTTCTATACAATTATTAGAGCTGAAGAAAAACAGTTAAATTCATCCATAAAAATTAGAGCATTTTTTTATTTGTTGTGAAAAAAAAGCATCTCCCTGAAATTAGTTTTCAGAACGGAAGTCTGTATATACTTCAACGTGCAAAGAAAGATATAGAATAAAGATCTTTAAGTAAAATAAATAAACATAGAATACAAAAAAACTTTAGAATTAAATACATAAATATAGAATAAAAAAGTTCTACCTAAAACAATTAAATATAGAATTAAAACAGCAGAAGTCCAATCTTGGTGGTAAGAGGAATGAGCAGCTGAGATCTGTGCGTAAGTAAAATGGTGACACACAGGTAATTCAAAACAAATCCGCTCAGGTAAGTACAGGCCAATAATTGTAAATTAAACAAAGACAGGCTTAAACTTTAACAATTTTCCCGTATTTTCAGAGAGAACAAACTAGAAGACGACACCTTGACGAGCCTTGACAGCTACCTGGAAGAGTGTTTTGACAACATTGTAATGGGGAGGCATAGGAATACCGCATCTTCAGTGACGCCTAGGACTAAACAATGTTGATCTAGTTCAACCAGTGCTGCTTCTGCTATCCTGTAATCCATCGACAAAAAGCTAACCAGCCTGGACATCCTTCTTGCCTTGGTAGAAGTTCTGCATAAGGAGTTTCAAGCCCTGAGAGAGTCGCTAGTCGCTACAGCCAAGCGTCGCCATCCTCCGTTACCGCCGAGAATGAAGCGCTGAAGGGGGAAGTCACTAAACTAACCAAGGGGATGATTCAGCTGTCTGGCGAAAATAAGAAGATTAAGGAATCCATTCTTGACATTCAGCATGAGAGACAGCCTCGTCTTCACAGGAATCGAGGAGCGGCAGGAGGAGAATACCGAAGGGAAAATCCGTGACTTCCTCCAGGAAAAGCTAAAAATCCCGGCTGACCAGGTAAAAAACATCACCTTACATCGTGCTCACCGCCTCGGCGGTAAGAAGCCTGATAAATCCCGTCATAGACCAATCATAGATAAGCATTACATTGAGCATTACAAACAAAAAGAGCAGGTCAGGAGTCAGGGCAGAGAGCTGAGAGGAACAGATTTCAGCGTTAATGACCAGCATCCAAAGGAAATATTAGATCGCAGGCGAGTGTTATTCCCAATCAGAAAGAAATATATCAGTGAAGAGGTCAGAGCTACAGTAGCAGTTGACAAACTTTACATTAATGGTCAGTTGTTCAGGGATCAGAAGATCACTCCTTGGTTTTATTAGATGCACAACAGGTGGATTTAAAGCATATGACACTTGATTAAAGTGTATAGAACGTTTCACGGTAATAAATGAAATATGTGCACAGCTCAAGAGCACGTTTGCATGGTATGACTGTTAGTCACAGCTGCGTACAGGAAGCATGGGCTGGGGTTCTTTTTCTTTCACCTTTTCTTACTTATTGCACTCTCTTAATTCTTTGTCTTCATTTTTCTTTTTTGTCTGCTTCTTCCCTGTGGTCCACACAATTACAAGCACATGGTTTGATGCTGCCTGGGTCAAGGTATGACTATTCATTTAGAGGCATGTACTTTTCATTTTCTGCCTCACACCTATGGTGAATGTAAGGTTTGTGACATGGAATATGCATGGAGCTGGCACCAGAGAGACAAAGTTGAAGATTTTTAACCAGCTTAAAAGATTAAATGCAGATGTTGTCTTATTGCAAGAAACCCATACATCAGTGACAACTGTAAGTGATGTTAAAGCTTTTTTTTTTTACATTGGGCCCCAAATTTTACGTTATTATATCATGTTCTACTCAACCATATATGTTTTCTGTCGTTAGGAGCCGTTCTGAAGATATTCCGTTAGGTTATATCCAAGTAACGTCTTCCTATGGACAACGAGTTAAAGGCACAGACTGAACTGTTCATAATTTATTCTTTATAGCACGCCAGCATTCAGAACATGTAGGTGGATCACTGTCCTCCCGATATCCGCGGTTATATTTTTTATATTTAAGTCACAGCTCCTCTATTAGCCATCCCGTCATACACAGATCTAATGCCAGACAGTTGGTTTAAAAAAAAAAAAAAAGATTTACTGTAATGAATGGTAGAGAAAAACAAATACTCTGGTTAGCCTCCCCTCTGGTTCACCAACAACACAGCTGCAGGCCGAACATATTCTCTCTTACATACACAATGAATCTACATAAATTCACAGGAGCTTTTCCTATTATATTTGATCATATAGTTTTCTTTTATTTTTATTATACAATATACATTTCAAATGAGTTCAACACAATTTGTTTTTGTTCTTTTCTATATAAATTAAACAATTTAGAAAAAACAAATACAGACAGAAAGTAAAATTAATTATTAAATAACTTAAAAGCAAAATAAACATCATAAAAACAACTAACAAGTAAACTGAGAGACACTGTAAACATAACTGACAACTGACAAACATAACTGACAACTGTATCAAACAAAGTGGTAAACATAGCTGACAACTGACAACATAAATTATTAACATTTAATGTAATATAATGACCTGTAATTAATGGTAGAGAAAAACAAATACTTTAATTAGCCTCCCCTCTGGTTCACCAACAGCTGTAATGCAATAAAAAGTCCAGTAATCCCTTGGATACTCAACTACAAAGAAGATAGCCAGACCGGAGCACTCACCACAGCTGGGGGCCAAACAGATTCTGTGGAATTGTCAGCCGTTCCCCAGTATTTATAGGCCAACCAGTAGGGGGCGCCAAAACCACTCATCACAAATAATAATTATTGTTTTAGTAGAATTGAATCTACATCTTCTAAAAACCGTTACATTTATATGTTTTATTATTATTATTATTTTTTTTTTTAACAGTGTCCTGTCTGGCAATGTGGCAATAAGAATAATTGTCTTGATGCCAAAAAGAGTCCAACAGATTTTACTTTCACAAGTGTAGCAGTATGGCTATTGCCATATTGCTCCACTTGTTTCATGCATATAAATTGCTTTATTATGATTATGCAGGGAGTTTTACAGTTTATATGGACACTGCAGTGTAAGTAGAGCAGAAAAACAGGAAGAAAAAGGAAAAAAAGAGAGAAAAAAGAGAAAAGATGAAAGAAAGAAGAGATAGAACCTGTAACGAGATGCAAAAAGAACAGCACAACCAAAAGACATGGTACGAGATATACAATAAATCAACACCTTGAAACTATCGCTAAAGTAATATTAGTAAGTCTGACATGTACTCTGTGTTACCTGAAGATATGAATCTGGGGTTTCTGTTTGGAAGTGAATCTCTAAGTTCCTGGAGCCTAGCACCTGTAGTTGTTTGTGAGGGTGAACTTGTGCATGTAAAGATTATCCATAGAAAAAATGCTCAATACTGGGTGTGGAGAGCCGGAGAGGCACACCCCCCAGAGCACTGAGTCCAGCGCCGGGAGACCCAAAGCCCCAGGCGCCCAAAGGGACCCCAAGAGCGAAGGCACCAAGGAGGGGCCAGCCCTGGAAATCAGACCCCCACCAAGGGAGGAGGAGAGACAGCTCCGAAGAAGCCCCCCAGCCACCGCCATGACGGGGCCCCGGGAAGCCGCGGGGACGAGTCCGCGGGCTCCGCCGGCAGCCAGCCACCCTGAAGTAGAGCCAGGCACTGAACACTGGCCCCCCCACGGCACCGACCGAAACGCCCCAGCCCCACAGAGCACCGAAACACGCTTCGCCCCCCCCGGCACCAAGCCCCGGCGACCGGCCGCAACCCCCACCGCGACCGCATCACCCTGGAAAAATACGCAGGCGGCCCTGCCCGCAGCCGGGGCCCATGCGCATCCGCCGCGAACCGGACACGGGACCCCCCCAAAAAGCCCCCCAGGCAAAAAGCGCGGCCCCACCCCACCAAGACCGATGCCAACAGCGCGCAATGCAACACACCGCGCACAGAATCAACCCAAGAGCAGAAAAGCCGCCCGGCGCCCAACCGCAAGAAGAGCAGACCGCAGCCGGCGCAACCACCCCCCCCAGCAGCCCAAGGGGCAGCACAAAGCCAGAGCGGAGCGAACCACGCCGCTCCCCCACCGGACGAAGCCAGAGCAGCACAGCCACGTCCGCCGCCCCCTCCCCGCTGCCGGCACCAGGCCCTGACACATGGCCGGAGCAGCTCCGCCGCCCCGGCCCCCCCGACGCGCGCCGGCCAGAGCCAACCCAACCCCCACCCGCCCCGCAGCCACACCCGCTGCGATCAGCGGGAACAAAGCAGCTCCACCATGCCTCCAAGAGGGAAATCCCACCCGAATACCCAATCAGCGCAGCCAGCCCATCCACACCGGCCCCCCAACACCCCCCCCGCCGGAGCCGCCTGGACCCCCACACACCAGCGGCGCGCCGCCAGCAGGACCCCCACCCAACGGGCCTGCCCGCCCCCCGAGAAAACAGACATGCCAATCCCCCCCCCCCCAAAAAAAAACCATGCCAAGCAGAAAAAAGCCCCCACAATGCGACAGTGGACACCAGACACCGACCCGCCCGCAACCGCTCCCCCCCACCGAGAAAAAATAAAAAACTAAATATTAAATAAATAAATAAATAAATAAGTAAATAAATAAATAAATTAATTAATTAATAATTAAAATTGAAATAAATAAAAATTCCCCTATGCAAGGGGAGAAATGCAAGCGGAAAAACCGGAGCCCAAAACAAGACCCAAGAGCTGCACCTCACCATGCCATGCAGCTCCCCTCCCCCCCGAACCGATACCACAGAACCGACATCGGAAAAAGCACCACCCAGGAACCGGCATCGTAGTGAACGCACCAACACCGAAAGTCCCCGAACTACACCCAGCCCCACCCTGAAGTGGATCCAGTCCCGGGCCCCAGGGATCCGAGGCCCCAGGGGCGCCCGACCCCCAGACAGGAGCCCCGGCCAGCTGGGGCCAGCGGAGAGGCTGCCAGGAATGAGCCAGCAGCCCCCCGGGCATCCACCCCCAGACCCCGAGCTCCACCAGTGCACTGGTGAGCCCCGACGCCAGCCAGCGGAGGAAGAGCAGGACGGGGGGAATGGGCTCCGCACTTAGCGGAGACTTGAGATGTATTTGGGAGAGGGTGCGGTTGAGACCCCAACCTGGGAGAGAAAGAGAAAAAAAAAAAAAAAAAAAAAAAACACTCACCATCTCAATCATGCCTTCACTCCCTAGTGCCTCCCTAGACCCGGGGGAGCGGCGACAACGCCACACCAACCCACCACCCCGCACACGGACCGGGCCACCCCCAGCAAGAGCCCCCCCCAGGACCGGGGCCCACCCATCCCAAAATACATAATATTGTATTTTATTTGTTAATGAAAATATTTCTGTTGTATTTTGGAGTCTGTTTTTATAGAAAATGGTATCGAGTATCGAATGTTTTCCTTAGTATCGGTATCGAGTTAAAAAGTTTAGTATCGTGACAACCCTACTTCATGCCCCTCCTTCCAAACTTCTTTGGGGAGAGCAGAGGTGACAGCCCCGCCACCGGCAGGCCACCTAGGCCCCGCAGCTGGCCCCAGCCAAAACCATGGACCAGGTGGCTCGCTCTTCCTCCAGGCCCCAGACTCTTTTATATGTTTTAAAAACAAAGCGGCGCGTCTATGACATCATCCGTGCGCCGGCTACCATTCATTCATCCTGTCCGCTGAACTGCTGCTAGTTTTACTCACATGCCTGGAAGATGTCTAGTGCTACTACCACAGATGATCTCGCTCTCGAAATGGAATTGAACGATTCAGATTTGCTAGGCGAATGAATAGAAGGAGTAGAGCGTAGCCGCCTGTGGCCCAGGCTTCCTGTTAAGTGTATGAGCGCATGCGCACTGGAGTCGTAATCGAAGTTTCCCTTTAACTCCCCTGAGTTCCCTGATGTGTTTGCAGCCTGCTATAACCTTAGACAGAGACGAGTAGTAATTTTAATCCACAAAAACATCAGTATTACAATATTAGACAAAATTGTTATTCCCGAAGGCAAATTCATTATAATTAAAATATCCATTCATAACCAAAAGTTATGTATTATTATTATTATTGGGGGTGACCTCAACTTTGGTCTAAATGGAGAAATAGACAGGTTGAATACAACAGGGACTCAGCGCAGTTGGCAATCATTACATATAGTCAAACAATATATGAGTGATTTTGGTCTTTGCAATCGATGGCGATATCTTCATCCTAACATTAAGGAAATCTACTTTCTTTACTAATGTCGATTATTCCTATTCTTGTTTGGACTATTTCTTAATCAGCAGCTCGCTGCTGTCTGACGGCTCAGATGCTGTAATCCATCCTATTGCTGTCAGTGATCATGCTCCCGTTACTTTAACACTAATAAATAAAGAAATAGTCCCACAAAACAAGAACTGAAGATTTAATACATCACTGGTTAAAGATGAAGATTGTCTTAAATCTTTCAAGAAGAGTGGGCATCATACTTGGTGTACAATGATTGACCAGGAACATCAGCATCTATACTATAGGAAGCAGGGAAAGTAGTGATAAGAACTAAAATTATTTCATTCATAGCAATAAGTTAGGAAGTTTCTTAGCTAATCAGCTAAAAATAAACAAAGAAAAAAAACGACTATATTTGCAGTTACAGACTCAATTGGTAATACATTACAGGATCCGGAGGGTATTAACAATGCCTTCTGAGATTTCTATAAATCTTTATACACATCACAGTTAAATCCATCAGAAAATGATATCAAGCGAATTCTGGATAAAATAACAAGTTTCTCTTCCTAAATTATCAGAGAGTCAAAGAATGGCCCTGGACTCTCCGCTGTCAACAGCTGAAGCTCAGAAGGCATTAAAAAGCATGCCAAAAAATTAAGTGCCTCCGCCACAGACCTTCCAAAGGAAGCAGGCAGAACACTTAAAGGGTGAAGAACTCACTACAGCACGGGAAGGAGCAGGCCATAACAGCCAGGCGTGGTGGGAGGAAAGGCTAAGCAACCGCCAGGTATAACCATACTGATTGGCACAACGTGGATCATCTCTGCAACAGGAAGAGAGTGCAGTTGAAAACAAGGCGTTGGATTGGCAGCAGGGCAGAGGTGAAACTCTGCTTGCATCTGAGAGTAACCGTTTTCCACTGACATCTACAGGGTTTTGTCACATCGTGAGGGTCGCAGCAAAGACCAGTTGGTTCTACAAACAGCGCTTCTGGCCAGTGTGTGTTTATATTTGCAGGAGTCCAGTAGCAAGCAGGAGGCGCTTGGGCGGACCACAGCAAGGACGCGGTGTGGCTGGACCAACCCCGAGATGGCTGTGTGGTGAAACTAAGCAATTGACTTCCTTTGTGGACTCTGCTGCTGTGATTCCAGCCCTTTATGTATATTTTACATCAAAATTAAGGGCACTATTACCCTGGACTGAAGGCCTTCCCATTTTTTTTTTTACTTTTTGCTGTATTTTTAGCTTCTCAAGAAACTGTTTTTCATGAGAATAAAAAAAAACATTGCATTCTAACCTGATCTGTCCTGTTCCCCTGGTTCTGACTCGTTAGCTCCCTTTAATTGTTTAAAGACCTATTGTAGCACTAAGCTAGCAACTTAGTGCTTACATGTGTACTGACTTTGCCCCCCACTACTCCCATAGGTGTGGTGAAATAAAACTGCAGTTCCTGATTCCTGGTCTGAGTGGTGTCTTCCATTTTAAAGCAACCAGATTAAATCTGTTACATAAAACCGGTGCCATTGGTCAGCCGCCGCTGATCGCAGAGGTTCAGCTGTGTGCTTGTGACACCTGGGATGCCAAGTTAGTAGATCTGTGGATCCTGTTACCCGCTAAAGTGGTTGCTTGTATTCTATATGTATACAATTATTTTCTTTAAAAGGCAGACACTCTTCTTAATTCTACAAAGCAAATCATATTTGCACAGGTTGTAATTTTTGAGGTCTGTAATAGCTCTTACTTTGGTCTTGCATGCAGCACCTGTACACTGCGTGTTCATGTGATTTGTGAGATATGGCAAGCAGAAATTTGGACACTTTTGAAATTTTACTCCTGTTTTGGTAGAGGAAAAGGTTTAGTTAACACAGAGCAATCCGGAATAGAACTGCAGTGTAAAGTGGTGAGTTTTTGGATGACATCTCTGACATCCCTCCACTTGAGCCTCAGTTTTCTACTCTTGCGGTTAACAATGACAGCACCACCCAGCAGTTGCGTGACCTCATTGGTGAGTTAGGTAACCCGATAAGTGAGTCGATAGCCAGCATTGACCTTTCGAAAATGAGCCTGGTAGTCAGGTCCAACATAAAGGAGCCTCCAATGTTTAGGGGTGATGGGAACGACAAATACTCCATACAAGAGTGGATTACTATGATGAAGGTGTACTTACATAAGAGAAACCTGTCAACTGATGAACAAGGAGATGAAATCCTGGGCCATCTTCTCGGCAGGGCAAAAAGTGTTGTCAAAGTACTACTGAAAAGCAGTTAAATATCTGGCGTAGTCGTTAATTCTGAGACAGTCTATAGTATACTAAGACACTATTTTAGCGAGAGCCCTGGATCCTGTTTACCACTGGCTGATTTCTATGCCACACGGCCCATAGCGAAGGAGAAACTAGTAGATTACTGGGTCCGACTAAACACAGCTGCTGGAGCGGCTGACAGAAACTTGCGGCTCCAGGGAAGCAAATGGATAATATAGATGCAGAAATAGCTATGATGTTCATCAGGAGCTGTCCTGATCCTGGCCTCACTTGTGTTTTCAAGTGTAAGCCCATTAGCAAGTGGTCTTTAACAGAGGTACAGGAGGCGATTGACGAACACCAAAGAGAGTGTCATGTAAAAAAAAACAAATGCAAGAACAACCAGAGCACTTGCCCTCCAAGTAGCTACCACTGTAACAGCTGTTGGTTCTCTAGAACCGGAAACTGACTATGCCCAAGGTAACACGGCCAAGGTAACCCCAGGTATTCCAACCAAGCCAAATGAAACGACTGCTTCAGAACAGAGTGCTTTAGAATGGGTGCTGAGCATGTTAGAGAGAGTGCTAGAGCGTACCAACCAGCCTGTTCCCACTGTTAAACCCCAGTTTTCCCTCTCAGCTCATTTTAACCTCTTAACATCCACCTCATTTTGAGTAATCCTTGCTTATTTTGCATACCCAAATGGAAAAGCAAATAACTTAAGAACCATAAGCCCAAATTACATGTGCAATACATTATTTGAAAGAAAACACCTTCTAGTTTCCTAATATATAAATTAAAATGGGCGACTAGAACACAGACCAACCTGCATTAGTTCAAACATGACTCAAAGTAGTTTTTTTTATTCTCAGAAATGATAGGTCTTTTTTGAACAGCAGCAATAAAGATATTCTTGCGAAAAGCCAGGTATTATTGTATTTTATTTGTTCTAGATCGTATCAACCGCACATGTAGAAAATGTCAGACCTCCTGCTATAACACTTCCAGAGGTGTGGGCTATGGAAGTGCGCACAATGGCTCCACCTGCTGGTAAAACATTTTATGGGTGGAATTTTATGCATTCTGAATTATTACCCCCACTTAAAAGTCCACTGGGTCGGGTTTTAAGAGGTTAACCCATGCCAAGTATGTGGAAATGGCTCTCACTTGAAAGCCATGCAGTGCATGAGAGAAAGTAGATGTCTAGGTGCCTGGAAGTGGGGCATCAGAAAAAAGACTGTTCTAAAACCACTGTCCGGCGGGATGACAGTTCGCCTTATCAGAGAAATTAGGTCACTCACGCTTGGGAGGGCACAATGTGAGTGAAAATGGCGAGAACCTTGACTCTAGTAAAGACATGCAGTCTTCTTATGCAGAAAGCCTTAAATCTGCCCCACCTGGTGTTGTTGTTCTGTTCCAGGACATAACAAAGCTTGATAAAGCTGACAGCCTTTTCTACACTAATGCACAAGTGGATGATAAAGTTTTATTGCAAGCCTTACTTGATACGGGCTCCATGGCCTGCACCATTAGTGAAGAGGCTGAGCAGGTGCTTAAAGATAGTGAATTAGCATCAGAGCCCAGCAGTGTCCACACTGATATCATACTTGTAGGTTGTGGTGGAATTCAAGTCAAGCCCAAATGTATTCACCATGTGAAGTTGGAAGTGTAAGGATGCACATTCAGTGTACCTGTCTTAGTGGTTCCTGGGCAGAGAGACCAAGTGATCTTGGGCACAAATGTCATTAAACAACTCTTAAAGCAGTTCAAACAGTCTCCTCACTGGCAAGTTCTGAACAAATCTGAGTCTGCAAATGTACCGTAGATAGGACAGTTTCTCAACATGTTGGCTAGCAATGACAGATAGAAGGGTGACATAATTGCCAGATTTTATTGGTGCTGTCAAGCTAGTACAGGCAATAACTCTCCTACCAAAGCAAGAACACTTGGTTTTGGGCAAGCTACCTGCATCTACACCCCTTTCTGAAGGTAGTGCCATATTAGTTGAACCGTCAAAAGCATAAAAAAACATCATATTCTGCAGATCTGTAAGTTCTATGAATGGTGACAGGTGGATCCCAGACAGGATCCTGAATACATCTGACAAAGCGGTCACCTTAAATCATCTCACCAAAGTAGCAGATGTGTCTACCTGCATAGCCATCGAGGATCTGGGTATGACCCAAGAGGAGGAGCGAGCTGCAAAAATCGAAGTGCAGAATCAGAAAGTGTGTGGTGAAACAGCAAGTGGCCTAATCCAACCTCCCTGTTCCAGTTTTCATGACAGTCTGCCTAGCCTGCGATTGGATGATCTAGATATTGACTCATGCAACATGTCAGATCACTGGAAGTTGCAAGTGATACAGCCGATCCACAAGTATGAGGAGGTCTTCTCAAGGAGCAAGCTTGATTGTGGACTGGCTAAGGATTTTGTCCATTGCATCCATTTATCTGACGAACGGCCATTCCGACTCCCATATCAGCCTGTTCCCCCAGCACAGTACCACAAGCTCTGACAGGTTCTTACAGAGATAGAGGAGCTGGAAATAATAAGCAAGTCCAACAGTGAGTGGGCGTCCCCCATAGTGCTTGTCTGGAAGAAATATGGGGAACTCAGGATATGTGTGGATTACCGTTGGATGAATGCACAGACAATTAAGGATGCACATCAATTGTCGCACCAATCGCATTGTTTGGCAGCTCTCTGAGGAAGTGCCATATTCATTGCCATGGATCTTACCTCTGGTTTTATAGCATTGCAATGGAAGAGGCAGACAAAAAGTTGACAGCTTTTACTACACCTATGGGGCTCTGAGTTTAATAGGCTTCCTCAGGGTCTGTGTAATAGCCCGGCAAGTTTCACACAATGCTTGCACACTGTTGCACAGCTGCTGGTGCGTCTTCCAACTCCTGTTCTTTCTCACTCGCCATACCCAAACAATTCTCCATACCGACAGATTTTTTTCTGCTACACCCGGCTACACTGCTTTGCTTCTTCTTGTTGACTACTGGTGGTTGGCTTTGGTTGCAGTACTGCTACCTTCTGCTCTGGAGTGTAAACGCTTCGCCTATGGGAAAAAGGAGCAGCGCATGAACCGATTGCAACACATGCGAATCGAACCGAGACAGTCGAACCGAACGGTTCTGACGGTTTTCATAAACCGTTCCATCCCTAGGTAACACAGAATACATGTCAGATTAAATAACATTACTTTATTGTATATCTTGTACCATGTCCGTTGGTTGTGCCGCTCTTTTAAAATCTCTTTCCAGGTGATGAAGCAGTCTGAAATTTTTTTATCATTATCTCCCTTTTATCTCCTCTTTCTTTCATCTTTTCTCCTTTTTGCCGTTCCTGTTCTACTTACATTGCAGTGTCCATATAATCTGTAAAACTCCCTGCATAATTATGATGAAGCAATTTATATGCATAAATCAAGCGGAACACTATGGCGATAACCGTGCTGCTCCACTTCAGAAAGTAAAATCTGGTGGGCTGCTCTTTTTGGCATCAAGACAATTATTCTTATTGCCATATTGCCAGACAGGACATTGTTAAAAAAAAAAACAAAAAAAAAACTAGAACCTGAAATGAGTATAGAATGAAATGTTCCACCTGAAATAAATAACTATAGAATGAAAAACCTCAACCTCAACCTGTAGTAAATAAATATGGTATAAAAATCTTTACAAATAAATATAAAATAAAAAAATGTCACCAGAGATATCTAAATAGAGAATACTAAACTATAACCTGAAATTAATAAATATAGAATAAAAAACTTCAACCTAAAATAAATAAATATAGAATGAAACATTTCAAAGAGAAATAAATAAACATAAAATAAAAAGTTCAACAATAAATAAATAAACATAGAATAAAAAACTTCAACCGGAAATAAATATATATAGAATAAAAATCTTTAGAATGAAATAAATAAAAAAAAAACATCCAGTGATAAATAAATGCAGAATACTAAACTATAACCTGAAATGAATAAATATAGAATAAAAAAGTTCTATGTGAAATAAATAAATAAAGAATAAAAAAATTAAACCTGAAATGAGTACATATAGAGAAAAAACTTCAAAGTGAAATACATAAATATAGATTAAAAAACTTAAAAGTAAAATAAATAATAGAATACAGAACTTTAACCTGCTGTACATATATATAGAATAAAAAACTTAAACCTCAAATATATAAAAAACTTCAAAGTTGAATAAATAATGTAGTAAATACTTATGGAATAAGAAACTTAAGAATGAAATAAATAAATGTAGAATAAAAAAACTTCAACATAAATTAAATAAATATAGAATGAAAAACGTCAACCTTTAGTAAATAATCATGGAATAAGAAACTTCAGAATGAAATAAATACTGTATATATAGAATAAAAAATTTCAACTTGTAATAAACTATTTTAGATTTAACTTCAAACTGTAATAAATAGATATAAAATAAAACAATACAAGTTTGCACGAGTTTGCTGCTGCACCAAAAATTTTCATTATTTATCTATTGTTTTATATTCATTTTAAGAGTTTGAAGTTAAGCAGGACAGGCGTATATTTAAGATACTTATTTTATTCAGCAAAATTTGTTTTGTATTAAAGTGAATTGCTGGACAATAAATTGTTTTCCATGTGTTCAAGTCACTCACAAATATGCATCTAATTTAATGCATTTGAGTAAAATTTTTAAGAAAATAACTTCACAAACATTTAGGGAGGGGCGTCCCTGACACATTCTACATCAGAACAGAACCAGAACCAATCAGCATAAAGACATTTGCTGATGCTGATACCAAGCAGAGCAGCAGACGATAGCAGGGATAAAGTAACCCTCTTTGTGAACAGAGAACCAACCAGATTTCATGTCTCTTTCTCCACAGAGAGAAGAAAACTCACTAAATAACGATAAAGTTAGAATAAAATGTGATTTTTACCTTAAATTTCCGACAGAAAGCTGCTTTAATCCACCTATTCTACAGAGAACAAATGGATCCTGAGCTTCTGTTCCTTGTTCTTTACCTGCTTCAGGTAAACACGAGAACCAGGAAGGACTCAGCCCCTCCCACCCTCATTTGCAGGAAGTCAGGTGAGGTCAGTTTTATCTCTGACTGTTCTTCTTATCTATCATGGCGGATCGCAAGCAACTTTACGGTGCATACCGCCACCTACTGTTCATGAGTGTGTAGCAACATTGTTTTATATCTATTAAATTCTATTTTTTAATTTTGTATTCTGAAGATAAATAAATAATGCTTTCCTTAATCTATAAATATCCTTTATATTGCTTATATTTCAACTACTCTTCTCAATTTCTCCTTTTCAGGTTCATATGTTTTGCAGTTCATCAATACGTGTTCTACATTTCTATCTCTCCACATCCTTCACATTTATCATTATTTTTCCTCCCTATTAAGTATAAATTGTCATTTAAATAAGTATGACCTACTCTTAATCTGATCATTATTATTTCTTCCCTTCGGTTTCTCTCATTAATATTTCTATTTAATACTGACTTTTGTACTTTATATAACCTTCTTCCTTTTTATCTTCATTCCACCTTTTTTTGCCATTTTTCAATTTCTTTCCTCTTAATAAATGATTTTCCTTCCCCTTTTCCTAAAGGAATTGTTGCTAATTTGTCTGCCTTTTCATTTCCTTTTACCCCTTCGTGTGCTGGAACGCAACAAAACCAAATATCAATGTCACCCCTGTATAATCTAAATAAACTGTGCTGAATTTCTAATACTAAATCTTTCCTATTATTTCCTTCCCCCTGAATACTTTCTAAAACTGCTTTGGAATCCGTGCATACCACCACCCTGTCTGGTCTGACCTCCTCAACCCATTGTAAACTCAGTATAACTGCCACCATCTCTGCTGTGAAAACAGATAGTTGATCTGAAATTCTTTTAGAAATGTGTATTTTGAACTCTGGTACATATATTCCTATTCCCATACACCCTTTTAAATTATTGGAGCAATCAGAATATATTTCAAGGTAATTATAATATGAGTTTCTTAAATATAAATTAGTCTGTATCCCTATTTCGTTTAAATTCCAATCATTTTTCATTTTAATAAGTCTCATGTCTATATTTATCTCAGGAAATAGCCATGGAGGAATAACACTAATTGGATTAAACTGTGCTATTTCCTTATCCTCTAATCCAAACTCTTTAATCAATTTGCTTATAACCCATCCAAATCCATTATTATGGAACTTTGAATATTCCCAACAAATTTGTAGAATTGTTGAAGTTACATTTTCATCCATACTACTTTTAATTTTCATCCAATATATTAAACCCAATTTCATTCTTCTAATTTCCAGTGCAGTTTCTCCAGTCTCGACTAAAAGAGCATTGTTAGGTGTTATTTTCACTGCTCCTGTACATATACGTAAAGCTCTACTCTGTAATCTATCTATCCTTTGTAATGTTGTTTTAGCTGCTGCTCCATAAATAAAACTGCCATAATCTATTATTGATCTCATGAGAGCCCTATATATGTTTAATAATGACTGTCTATCTGCACCCCAGTTATTTCCAGCCACAGCCTTTAGGAGATTTATAACTTTCTTACATTTAGTTTCCAAGTTATCTATATGTATTTTCCATGTGTAAGAGCTATCTAACCATAGTCCTAGGTATTTAAATTCTGCAACCCTTTCCAGCGTCTGTCCATGTAATCTTATTGTTCCTATATCAATATTTCTCTTATCTGTGAATACCATGAAACAAGACTTGTTTGCTGATAATTTAAAACCCCATTCATAAGACCATTTTTCTACTTTATTAATATTTCCTACTACATTTTTCATATTCCTTCCTCTCATCCATATGGCCCCATCATCTGCATATAATGCAGATTTAATACATTTATCAGTATCTGAAAAAATATCATTAATTATGATATTAAATAAAATTGGACTTATTACACTACCTTGAGGAATTCCATTTTCCACATTAAATTCTTTTGAATAATCATTCCCAATCTTCACCCTTATTTTTCTATCCATCAAAAAATTTGCTATCCAATTATACATCTTCCCACCTATTCCCATCTGCTTTATTTTTATAAGTAACCCTTCTCTCCATAATGAATCATATGCTTTTTCTATATCAAAAAATACTACAATCATTATCTCCTTCATTTTTAACGCTTTCTCTTTATCGTTACTGACTCTAGTTAATGCATCCATTGTTGATCTCCCTGTTCTAAATCCACACTGGTATCCATTAATTAATTTCTTATGTTCAAGAACAAACCCTAATCTACTGACCACTATTTTCTCCATCAATTTACTTAAATGAGAAGTTAAAGCTATTGGTCTATAATTATTTGGACTGATAGGATCTTCCCCTGCTTTATTAACTGGTAAAATTGTTGCCCTTTTCCAACTATTTGGTATTGAACCTCCTTTCCATATTTTATTGAATTATTTTATATTAATTTCAATGTTACTTCCGGTATCTGTCGAAACATAGCATAGCATAATTGATCCTCCCCTGGAGCTGAGTATCCTGTCCCTTTCAATACTGTTTTAATTTATTTCATAGTTATATTTATGTCTAATGTTGATATACCTTTTTTACATTTTCCTAATATATTTCTATGATTTCCAAGTTTTTGTACCTTCTGCCTTCTATGAATGTCTGTAAGATGATCGCCAATATGAACTGCAGCAAATGTCTCGCCTAATAAATCTGCCTTATCTTTATTTAAAACTACTATCTCCTGATCTCTAACTAAGGCTGGTATTTTAACATCATTCCTTTCCCCCGTCATTTTCCTAAACAGTGACCAAACATTCTGTAATTTTATTTCTGAACCTATTGAGGAACAATATTCTCTCCATGTTTTCTTTTTTGCTTCCTTAATAGTTTTACGAACCATTGCTCTTTTCCACTTAAAATCAATAAGGTTTTCGGTTGTTAGATTTTTCTGTAATATTTTAAATGCCTTGTTACGCTCCTTAACTACTTTACTACATTCATCATTCCACCAAGGAACTACCTTTTTCTTACCTTTTATTTTGATTCTCTGTATGCTATAACTTGCTGCATTTAAAATATGTTTTGTTATCTCCCTTGCACATTCTTCAATGTTGCCTTTTAATGTAACCATATGACTGGTTTCCTCACTCTTAATTTTAAATTTTTGCCAATTAGCTTTATTAAAGCACCATTTTGTTAATATGAAATCTTCTTGCCTGTTTATATTGTCATCAATTATTGTACTTACTGGAAAATGATCCCTCCCTATTGTAGACTCCCAGTTGACATCCCATTTGCATGAACTAACAAGACAATCAGATATTAATGTAATATCAAGACATGAAACTATATTTTTATGTATATTTACTCTTGTACCTTTCCCATTATTAAGACAAACTAATGACCTTTCATCCATTATTTCTTCAACTATGTTACCATTCTGATCTGTCTTCCTGCTACCCCAAAGACTATTGTGAGCATTAAAATCACCACACCATATTTCTCTTCTATGTATTTTCCCTGCTATCTCTCTAAATATATCACTATCAAGATTGTTACATGGATTGTAATAATTAATAATTTTAATATTTCCATATTTACTTACATTAAATATTTCTATAATAACACATTCTAATTCTTTATTCATGGGATTTTTCTTATAAGCTATTCCATCTTTAATAAAAATGGCACATCCTCCTCCACTACCATTACTTCTATCCTGTCTTTCTATGCTATATCCAGGAATCTTAAAATCTAGGTTAGGTTTTAACCATGTTTCTTGAACGCATATTATATCTGCAATTATTTCTAATTCATAAACAAACTTTTTAAATTCTTGTCAATTGGCTAATAAGTTTCTGGCATTCCACTGAAGAATGTGTAAAACCAAGATAACAACTAGGATACTAATCCTGAGCATTCTCAATGCAATGTGTCCCATTCTTTGGCATGTAAAACATCTAAGGGGTTTAGGGATCTAATCTCTGACTCTATAATTCATATATCCTAGCTGGATATTTTCTGGCATTTTATTTTCAAACTGAAGAATCACTGTTCCCCATCTCTTTTACTTTTAATTCTGGTGGCATCTGTTATTTTCACGCCTCTAATTTCTTTTTTCACATCCTCCATTGTCATTTCAATTGGAACTCCTGAAGTTACTCCCCTCAACCTTGCTAAAGCTCCTGGGATATATGTTTTAATCCTTTCCCCCATCAAGGTTTTCATTTTGAGTATCTTCTGTTGTTGTGATTCACTGACAGCATGATTTAGCACTTTTCTGTTGTTCATGATTCTAGCCATTTTGATTTTCCCTATTTCTTCCTCTATTGCTTTAGTCAGCTTTAACGTGTGAATAGATCCACCCTCCTCCTTAAATTCCATCATTAATTTATATTCCTCTTCTGTGTTTAAGTCATCCATTTCTCGTAAACTCGCCCGTTCATTAGTTTTGTCTTTTTGCTAACTTCTGCTCTTGCCTCGCTTTCTTCCGACCAACTTTTTTGCCTTTCTTGTCTCTTCCTAATGACTCTTTTCATTCGTGATGATCTTGAAATCATCCAATCCATCTCATTACCACTACTTCCTCCTGATGTAGAAGCCATGTTGCTACAGTCAATGAACAGTTTATGCAATCCGCCAAATTCAAATCAAATCCGACCGCTTTCGATTGTTTGACACGTTTACTCCCCTCCTCTCGCATGCGCCTGGTTCCAACTTATCCTCTATATCTCTGACTGTGACTAAACTTGATGTGTTTAAGGACATTCAGTAATATTCAGGCTGATTATTTGATGGATGTATTCATCTTCAAGGAGACAAAATGATGCCCTTTGTTCATAAGCTGATTATTTTAGAGTTTTGATTAAAACTATTTCATATATTGATATATAGATTTATTAGACATCTTAGAAACACAGCTGCATTAAAATCCTTTTTATCACCAGTCAGATAATTTT